TTTACGCTGTGAGTCAAGCAGATGCTGCGACAGGAAACGCGAACGTTTGCCGATCACGACCAGCAAACGCAAAGTTTCCACGACGACTTCCATGTGGCACGAATCCAGCAGCTTCAACAGACGCTAAAAACATCTGGCATTAAAACGGCAAACAAAAGAAGGGTTAACATTCGACTATCCTGTGATCTACTTTTTATAATCACCAAGTGAATGCGATTTTGGAAGAAAGTGCTTTATCCAAACCCGGCTCCACTAAAAGGCATCATGCCCGGCTTGACATTTCAGAAAAACTACGTCTTTGATGGGAAGCTGTTTTCCTCCTCCCCGATCTAGTAAACTCAACATCGCTAAAGCTGTTTTATTGCTCAAATTCGAGCGCCAAATTCGATAATTGCCCAGTCTAATTTGTCAATTTAACTTACTCATAACTGACGAGGTTTAGTTGAGGCAGTGATAAGAAATGGAAACGACTTAATGGACCGAAACATTTCTTACCATTATAACAATTTCATCAAAACAATTTTACCACTTTTACTAATTTCTTAATATTATTTGCTCTTCTCTTCTTCCTACTTTAAAACACCTTTCTGTTATTCATAAACAGTACCTACTTTTCAGCGGATGGGAGGGGAGAATACGATCCCTTCCCAGGTTTGGAAGGTTGCCCTAGCCGTCAATCAACATTGATCTGTTATAGCCAGAACATCCTTCTTACTTTACGGATTCCCATCGTTTGTCTTCTCTTTTTTTTCCTAGCAAGCTATGGGAAAAAAACACAGCAATCGCCAAAATTTACGATCTTTTTTTTAGTTTTAGCTAACGCAGCATTGTTTCCATAGGCTGCCGAAAAAAAGCCGAAGCAGTCGTTAGCTGAAAGCTGAAGCTACTGACAAAAAAAAAAAAGAAACCTTATGACGATGCGATAAATATGTAATTTTTAACGACAAACAACTAACATCTGAGGAGCCGTAAACAGATCGAGTGAAAGTGTTCTCGAAAAGCATGGAGGTGAATGAGAGGACGATCGAAACGTGTGGTATCATCGAGCCGTTCTGATCAATCACCATCGGCGAACCCGGCACCTCAGTGGAAGCTACTGCATCTGCCAGGACATCATCACACATGTTCAGCACCTGCGCCCAGCGGGACATCTCGGACTGCAATCGAGAGAATACGTATATTTAAAACGTATTTAAAGCCACCGGAAATCCAAAATCTGTTTCATGAGCTTTCTGCTGCCCATGAAAAACCATTTCAGCAGCCTCTAACATATGGAAATGTCGGGAAGAGCGCTGAGCGAAGATTTGTCTGGTACTACTACTCCATTTTATTTTTTTAGTAAGACCAAAGATTGGTGAAGATCGGGACAGAGAATGCGCCTTGAATAACTCGATTCAAGCTGCAATAAAAGTGCAGCTTGGTAAGAACAGAGCGAAATGTAGGCCTAGAGTAAAGAAATAAAATCCACAAAAGCATGATTTAGGCAGAAAAAAGTTAGTCCTCGACAACGCACGACGGATACCACTTCTGACAGCCCCTTTTTTGGGATGCGCAACACAAAAATATCACACACATTAATGGGACTTTTTCTGATCAATAACCCATCACATTCGAAACCGGTAGCTGTTATCCAGAGCTGCAGCAGTCACAAGAGCAGGTCAACCAAGCAGAGATAATATTTTCTACATAACTGTGCCAAAATCCAATTGTTCTTCCTGATTTTCACAAAATCTCCGACAATAGTATTTCAAGGTTCTATACAAAGCCATAAAAGTAAGTGCAAAATGCGCTTTCCCGTCATTTTAACATGGCATGCTTCCTTCTTTTACCCGCTAACTAAAAGCCCAAAGACAATATATGAAAATACTAATTGTTACAATCACAGAGTCCCGCCAATTCGACTCTTTCCACCGTTCACTGCCTCAAATGCACTAAGAATTGGGTTTCTCAACACTTTTGCTTATTAAACTGCTTCGAAGAGATTAAGTGTTGTAACTACCACACGCTTTTTACGGTGAGAAGTATATTAATAGGAATTGAATCGGATAAAAACAGGAGAACAAGAAGGAAGGTAAGAGATGAGAATTACAAAATTTGTAAATTAATAAAATTATTTTAATGGTAAGAAATGTTTCGGCCCATTAAGTCTTTATGACTCACACATTTTATATCTATCCATTATAATCCATAACACCAACGACAACTTGTTGACCAGTGGTCTAAAGCATTCTCTCAAAACCACTAGCCGGCCCTTACTGAGGCATATTTGAAGAGGATATCTGTGAAAGTGCCTGTGACTGCCTTGACACAAGTAATCTCTTCGAAACACGAAAATCCAACATATTTAGGCTTCACAAAGCCCGGCAGTTCTTTCTTTCGCCTTATTTCTTACGCTGCTACGTCACCAGTTGCAGAGCTTCTGAGCAATCAACGAGAGCTCATTTGAAGGAGCGATTTTTTCATGTTAAAGCTAACTAGCAATTTCAAACTGGGGCACAGCTACGCTAACAAGCACCTTGGCGTAGCTGCGCCCAATTTGAAATTTCACAATTTTTATAATTTTCTTTATACATTGAAAAAATCTCTTCAATAATTTTTCTGGTACCTCCGGACTATTTCCAGTTTTGAACGAAACCACAGAAATCGATGGGCTTCTCAAATACTCAGAAAGTACACTGGGTGCTCCAGCTGTGCGGGAATCAACACACACACCCATATGACACACACGCTTCCCTTGCAATGGGCTGGAAGAGCTCAGAGCACAAAAATGCAAATGAAATAAGAACTTACTTTGCCAAACTGCGGTTGCCATTCATGTACTTCAGCCAGACGTTCCAGAAATGTTTTTCGATCTGGCGCCGACTGAATGTGTTCGATGAGCTGCATGCACCGGGGATACTGAAAAAAAAAAGAAGGAAAAACCATCCCTTAGTTGTTTTTGAGAACTCTCCCCACAACCCTAAGGGTGGAGGAGGGCAAGGGTGGATTAGGGGCTATCAACACTGTCAGTCAGCAACACCTTCCAGCATCGCAGATGTTTTTTTTTTTTTTTTTTTTTTA